CACTGGGGGATTCTAGGCAGGGGCTCTACCACTGAGCCACGCCCCCACCCCTCACTTGGGATTCTAGGCAGGGGCTCTACCACTGAGCCACCCCCACCCCCCAGCACAGTGATGTGGCAGGTGCACAAGTGCAAATCCTGGACAGCAGATACAGTGGATGAAACTGTTAGCATTGGAAAGATTTGGTAAACAATAAAACCTAATCTGGGTGTAGTGGTGCACCCTGTAATCGTAGAACCTGGGAGGCTGAGGGCAGGAGGATCAGAAGCTCAAGTCCAGGTTAGGCTACATAACAACCTCTTAAAAGGAAATAACAACAAAACAACAGAAAACCTCAACTCTGAAGCATGACTGTTTAAAGATTTGAAAGTGAATGACAGAAAGGACAAGAAAGCAAAGAAGCAGAGATACAAGACAGAAAGATAGGAGGAAAATCACTAAAGAAAAAGACGATGAAACGGGTAAGAGAGAGAAACTAAGACCAGAGGCCAAGAGGGACAAAGCTAGACTCGGTGAGAGTCATGGAAAGTCGGAGTCAGTCTTGGCGTTAGGAATGGCGCGTTCTGAGGAGTGACTCAGCACACAGGGGAGCCAGCTTCTGAGAAAAAGAAAAAAAATGCAGGCGGAGGCCGAAAGTACAAAATAGGTGTTTTAATTGAAAACTGTATAAAAGGGCAAGAAATGTGCCAAGGGACCCAGGACAGGCCCAGGGCACTGGTAGGAGGGGCTGGGCATGATAGGCTGGTGCCATAGAAGGCACCCCTCTGTGTCTGTTCAGCCTAAGTCTGCCTGGCATCCTTGCACACATGCGGGCTAGAGGGAGGCAGCGGTGCTCCAGAAGCTCGGGGTGCTCCGGAAGCTCCCGGTGCTCCGGAAGCTCCCGGTGCTCCGGAAGCTCCCGGTGCTCAGGTATAGTGGGAGATAAGGCGCAGCTGCTCAGGCCCGGGGTCGAGCAGGCGCACAGTGATGTGGCTGGTGCGTGGGTGCAAATCCTGGACGGCAGACACAGCGGAAAGAACCATCAGTGTTGACACAGCGCGCATTGACGCAGAGTGGGGAGGTTGCCTCAGCCTCGTCACACTCGTTGACGTCTGGGGGGAGGGGGGGAGCGGGTAGAAAGACTGTTACTCATGTCCAGGAGTGAGGCCATCTCCCCAGTCTTTTGAGGTAGAGGACCATGGACGTGGGGGCTCTCCTGTGGCATGCAACATATCACTTGCTACCTCCTGGCTGTGTGAGCCTAAGCCGGTGGCACAACATCTCTATACCTTAACTTGCAAGATGGAGGAACTGGAGGGGTGGCTCAGTGGTAAACCACTCACCTAGCATACGTCAAGCCCTGGGTTTCACCAGTAACGCAAATAACATCTGCAGGATTCCTTTCACATCCCCAAACCCTCTGCCACTTACAGGAGCCCGGCTTTCCTGGTACTGTGACCCCATTTTGTTCAGTCAAGTACCACCCCTGAGCAAGAGCATCCCTCTCGGATGGTCTGGCCCCTGTCTGTCATGAAGTTCTTTCTTGGAGGTTCCTGATCACCAGCTGGTCAAACTCGCTTTCATTTTACCCTTCTCTCTCCTCCCCTTCCTCACCGACGCAGGACATGCGGGTGATGTCCAGGCGGTAACCATCGAAACAATCACAGGTGAAGCCTTCCGGAACGCGCACACAGCGGCCATGGGCGCAGCCGTCCAAGATACCACACTCCTCGGCCTCTAGGCCCTCATAGGACTCAGACAAGGCTCCTGCAGAGAACACAGGTAAGCCAGAGACTGGAAATCTCTGCGTTAGGTCGCTTGGTCTTTTTCGGCCTATGGTCCTGGCTTCCCAGGATGGGTGACTCATCCTAACCTGCCTTTCCCACCCCAGACTGCAGGGGGCGCTATGGTAAGATCGCTTACCTTGTTCAGTCCCCCTAGGTTTTGCTATACATTCCGGGCTGGCCTCAAACTTGCAGTAATCCTCCTGCCTTTGCCAAGTGTTGGAATTACAGGCGTGAGTCACCAACACTCCTGCTTTCCTAGTGCTCTTTTATATTTTTGACCCTGGAACGCCTTCTACCTTTTCTCTCAGCATCTCTAGTTTTGTGGTTTTGTTTTTGTTTGTTTGTTGTTGTTGTCTACCTGCTTGGTTTCTCTGGCCGAACTACTCACCTGTATAGCTTCCACGCTCAGAGGATTCCTCAGGCTCTGGGAAGGAGCCACGGGTGTCTCTGGACCTATAAGGCCAACCAGTGCCTCGGCTGGGTGGGTCAGGGGCCTCAGACTCGCTATAGGGGCCACCATCATCCTCAAAGTCCGGCATTTCGAAGGGCGGGGCTCCATAAGGTGCCTCCCGGCGAGCAAAGGGTCCAGGTGGGGGTGGGTAGGGGTCGTAGGGTAACACAGGCGGTGGATACAGATCTGGCCCATAAGGAAGACTCTGGTAAGGCGGGCCTATATCTGGGCCATATTCATAGGGAAGTCCAAAGCCACCTGGGCGCGGCGGGCCATAGGCAGGTGGGCGCAGCACGTTGCAAAGGGCCTCGAAGTCATCTGCAAACAGGAACCAAGATATACCCACAGTCAGGACCACTCATGGACCCGTCCCCGGGCAGCAGAAGAGATTGATGAGGCTTGGGGGAGGGCTGGAGAGAGGGTGGAGCTGGGAAGGAAGGATCTGGGCATTTGCAAGCACAACTGACAGTTCCCGACCAATTCTGGGATTCTGAGATAGTAGGATCCAGGGTCCTCAGACTGCAGCTAAGAACCAGTTTAAGGTAATGGAATTTGGGAGACCCACTGGGAGCTAGGGCTAGGAACCTGAAGAAATGAGGTGAAGATGTTTTGTGTCTGGTTGAACACTGAGACTTATGGGTTCAAAGGTGTCTGGGAAGAGCTTGAATCTCTGGGATCTGAGGAAATCAAGACTGGGGGGTTTGGCTCTTGTTCATACAGAGCTAAAAGGGGGGGATCAGAGATCTTTGGGGATGTGTTGGAATCTTGGTACTGGTGTGTAGGGGGGCCAAGGCAATGAGTGTTAGCAGCTGTTTGTGCTATTACCAGAGTCTAGAGGACAGGCTAGTGCATGTGGGCAACTGCTGTTGGGATCTAGGGCCCCAGAGTTTAGAGTGGGGTGTCACACAGATTGTGTCTTATGGGTCTAGAAACCAGGAATTTAATTAAGATAAGAGACCTCAGAGCTGATGGGACGGGACCTATGGGGGCTGCCGCTTCAGGCCTGGAGATTTCAGTTGCTGACAGAAGTCTGTAGAATTGTGACCAAGATTTTGGGATAGGTTGTGACACATGCAAGGATGCCAAGAGGTCCTTTGGGGACAGTCTAGGGCTGTACAGTACCTGAGTCCTGGGCAGGACAGAGAGCACAGTCCATACCCCAGGCTTCACCATAGAGACAGCAGCACTCTGTGTAGGTGGCCTGCCGGTCTAGTCGTGGGCGACTGCAGACGAGGTCAGGCCCCACTTCCTGCCAGCATACTCCCAGATTGTCATCTATAGGCAATGACAGGATGCATCAGGGCACCCGGGCCCTCTCACACAGGCCCAACTCCAGTCTCCAGAGGGTTCTGGGAAATGGGGCAGTCATTTCTTTTCCCTGAGTATTAGTTTAGTTTTTCTTTTTTTTTTTTTTTTGGTTGGGGGGGCGGGTGTCAGGCTGGTCCAAAACTTGTGGTCCTCCTTCATCCGTCTTTTGTGTAGCACAGATGTGTTTAAATGAAGTCTCAAAGTTTAGAGTGTTTTTTTTGTTGTTGTTGTTGTTTTGTTTTTGTGGGAAGAGAAAATAGGTAAAAAGATTTGGGGGCCAAGGACCA